ATTTGCAACACACTTGTGTTTGCTGACTATCATAAACACACATAACTCTCAGTGAGTAATGGAAGCAGCAGGAAAATCTGAGGGTAACTGCTCTCCAGACTGAAGCAGCCACAGCCTGGTCCTACAAACAGATTCACTCATGCAGGGATGTTCCTGCTTGTGCTCAACAGCAGAAAATACCATGATCCTCACCCCTGGAATCACACAGCACAGCAAAGGACATCGAGGCACTGCCACCCTTAATTACACATGCACAGAATGGATGCTGGAAGCTTTGTTAACTTGCAATATATATAAATCCCAGAGATGCACAAAGGAGAGGTTGGGTACCCTATCAATTAAGAATTTCTGGATTTCTCACTAAATATTTAAGGTGACAATGAATTGACACAGCAAAAATAAAAGAAGCTCACTTAATTTTGTTGAAAAGAAAAATCACTTAGTGCTTCCTACAACAACTCAATTTCCACCTTTTCCCCTTTACACCGAGATCAACACTCTGAAACTTGCTCCAAATGGGAATTTGGCACGCAGTTTAGGAAATGCAAACACATGAATTAATAACCTGAATTATGCAAATACAAACCTGAAATTTGCAATTTGTTTTAAAAAGCCGAAAGAACTCCTCCTAATTGGTTTATCCATGTCTAGGCATTACTCAAATGATTTTGGTTCAGCAGTTAGCAGCCTCTTGCAGGCTCAGAAAAAAAGCCTACAAATACTTAAAGAGCTAAAGCACTGAGTTCTGCTCTCTCCGCTATAAGGAGGAGGTTTGCTGCTTCCAGAACCAGAAAGTCCAAGATGATTCCATGTTCTTCATGGAATGGGATGTAGAACATAGACTGAGTCATGCTTGGCAAGAGGCTGGAGAACAAAAAAGGGGCAAGAGCTCTGCACTGAGGGTTGAGGAGTAAATTCTTTACCCACCTTTTACCATCCTGTAACACCAAGGCTGGGATTGCTGCCCTTTAATGTATTTATCCTTGTTATACCTCACAGCACACGTAGCACAACTGCTGTGGAAGGAGGGAGAAAACTTGTACTGGTGCTGTGCAGAGGGAAATATCCTTCTAGGAGAAAGACCTGACCCCAGAAGAGTTTTTATTCACAGATGTTCCCTGCAAAGTGTAACTGAAATTGAAACACCACATAAAGGGGAATAAAAACAACGGGTCACCTTTGGAGTCACGGAGATACCCGGTGCTACTTTCCCTTATTTGAGCTTTACTCTGCCACTGTTGCACCAAGCCTGAGAAAATCAGCCTTTCAGCTCACAGCCTTTCCAAAATAACCGCTGGAAAATATAAAATAGAGCAAAAGGGGTGAAATCCGCAGCCCTTTGTTCCTCCTCGCAGGCCTCTTCAGAATAGCAAAGAGGCTTCGGAGCGCGGGTCTGACAGAGCGCTGTCCTTGCGAGCACTCGGGATGCTCTGGCACTGCAAAGCAGCTCAGCCCCAGCTGCCTGAGCCCAGGTGAGAGCGAGCTGTGATCTCCTGATCTGCAGGGCTGGCACCGGCTTCAAAGCAGCCGCCTGTGCGATGGTTATCGCATTTTCAAAGGGGAAAAGAGATGCTGAAGGAGTTCTACTAGACCTTGAGAAAAGGAGTCCCAGGGCCATAAACTCTGAGAGAGAGAGGCAAGGAAAATCCAATACCTCGGATGAAAAGTATTTGTATAGGAGAGATCTTTATTCTGAGCGCGCTTCCAAAATCCAGGACAAAACATTATGCTCGAGATTTTCCTCCAGAGAGTGGAATGAGGCTGAGGACTCAAAGGTATCTTGCTGCTCCATATTCATATTGGTTAAAGGAATAAAAGATTGGTCTGAAAGAGTTATAAAATATTGGTAGTCCAAAGAAAACAATTTTTTGCACTCACAAATTCAAGTTTAGTTCTAGATTTAGAGCTCATTTTTTCCATGGCCAACCGAGGTAGGTGGAATTACAAAACCACAATAATTTCAAGATGTCATAAGAAACTTGATTTTTCACAAATTAATTCCTTTCCATCAAATATTTTACTGTTTACTTCTCCATGTACAATTTTTTCCTAACACTGGAGGAGTACTGGCCAAATTCTGCCCTTTTCACTCTCAGCCCAGTCCTTAATTGGGAATCTTTGCCTGAGAGAGGACAGCAGGTGCTGGCCTTCAATTAATAAAAGATTGGCATTGGGAGATCAGGGGCTGCTCCCAAGTACCACCAACCAGTTGCCAATTCAGATCCAATGCAGAGCAATCACATCTGGAAGGCAGCACAGCTAACACCTGCACCTGAGCTGGGAGACCAGGAGGACTGGTGGATTCTCAGCAATTTGTATAAAACTCAGGGAAGTCAAGGTGAATTTTTTATGCAAATTAAATAATATTCCCCAATCACCAGAGCTGGAGCAGCCTTCTAAACAACTGAAAAAAAGCTTCACTTTTCCACCATGGAAAAAGTGGCATGAACCCAGACAATCTCTGCACCCTGGAAAGGCTCTTCAGTGTTGGACTAAAATCTATCACCAAGACTCTTGTTTCCTTTTGCCTGTGTTTTTCTTCAATAATTGGGAGATTTTTAGCCATCAGAGTACGTCAAACCTGTACCTCCTACAAGCACTGAAGTCACTCAGACAAATATATCAAACATCAATATGAAACTAGAATGGAAAAAAAAAATCTGCTACAGCATCATCCAAACATAAGACACTAAGTAATAGCATTTTAAAAAAATCTATTTCACACAGATGAAAATCATTACAGTTCTCTAGAGACCCTCTCTCTCTCTGCAGCTCCCCATGTCATTTCCTAGCTGGTGAAAATGTGCCACAGGATATCAAAAGACGGTTACGTTCTTCTAATTTTAATATTCCTCTAATCCAATAATGGCTTGTTTACTGCTTTCTAATTTAAAGGTAATTCATTAGATGTATCCTGTCACGTCTTGTTGGCAATGAAGGCGTAAGGATCTTGCACAGAGCTCTGAGGCATGTCAGTCATGTTGCTGATATTCTGTGTGGGTCCCTCAATGCAAAGGGCTATCGATGCAATGGCACTGATAAGGGACTCTGTGTGTGTGTGCCTACATACAAAACACAACCAAAAATATTAAAAGACTTCAGGGGTGAAGTCTGGACCCCAGAATTTATGTTTTATCATCGAGAATTCTAGCAAACAGAAATAGAAGTGATTTGAGTGCAAATATTTGTGATAGTCACAAAAGGGTCTTGCACAGCCTGTGGAGAAGCCCCTGCCTGACCTGCAGGGGAATTGGATGAGGCTGCAGCAAATGATGAAGGTTAAGGAAACATCAGACAGAAGAGGCAGCCTGAACTCCAAAATGAACATTTCAGCAGCCAGACCATGCCAGGCAACATCTGTTGTGATTCTCCAAAAGCTACCCCGAGTTTTTGAGCCACCCTAAGGCAAAGGGACAGGAGCTGAGGCCGAGGGCTTCAGACCTGCTGTTCCTTGGAGGCACCAAGGTGAGGGTGAGAGCACGGCAGGACCATTGGCACAGCAGGACAGGGCTCTTTGCTGCCTCACCAGCATCCCCTGGCTGCTCGGAGCCCCTCCTCACCCCACAAGCCTGTGCCCACCTCCCCGGAGCAGCTCCTCTCCGAGCAATCGGGCAAAGCAGAGCAATTCCCTCCAGGTGACAGCACCGTGTGCTCCAACACGCTGCCCAGGCAGCTCTGCAGCCACAAGGCTGGGAACTCTTTGGTGTTTGCACTCTGCCAGCTCAGCCCCAGCAGCTCCCCCTGTGCCAGGGCACTGACATGCCCATTTGCAGTAATCTCTTCCCAAGAAGCGAAACCTTTAACCAGCCAGACTAACCACACACTAAATGAGTTGTTGACTATCTCAGAGCAGCACACGAGGCTGAGAAAACACAGTGACACCGTGCCAGGGCACCTCACCGTTCGCACAGACCGGCGCTATTCCCCAAGAGCAGGGCAGGATCACCAGTTTGGAAGGCAGTTCGGGTCAGGACGTGTCCAAACCCATGCCCTCATTGGCTGTCGGTGATGTCATGCCCGTGCATTAATCCCCGGTGACTGCAGGTTTAACACCACACGTATCACCCCATCTCTGCTAGCCACAATGACCACGCGCCTTGGAGGAAATGACTCGAGCAGAGAACAAAGCAACTTGTTGAAACAGGCAAAGTCGCATCTCTTAAGTGATTATTTCCAGCTTTTCTTTTGTCAGAGTGAAGTTGCTGGGGTCAGGAGATGACACGTGCCGCGCTGAGAGGAGTGAGTATTGTTAGAGCTCTGTTTTAGAGAAAGTAAATCCTCCCACTCAAAAAGGTGGAAGTGCCGGTGGTGGGAAACCGACTGCTCTGGGAAATGAAAACTGCTCTGGGAAATGAAAGTATCTCAGGAGCTATAAAATCGGTAGCTGAAATTATAAACACTTTTTAAAAAGACAAAGAAGGGGGGAAAGAGTGACATTTAAAGAGCAGTCTTGACCCTTTGCTGGCGGCACCCTGGAGTAACGGGGGCAGTAAATGAATTTGGCGCACACACCCCAGTGCAGAGACAGACTGAACTCCAGGCAGGACCGATCCCTGGAGTGCTCCGGACCGCCGCTCTCCAGCCGCTCTCCCGAGCCTGCCCAGCCCCAGGGCTCGCTCCAGGCGCTCTGGGCACCGCCAACACCGCTGGCACGGCCGGCTCGGGGGTACCCGGGGTGGGGATCCCCCTGCCCCGCCCGGGCAGCCCCTGGGGCCTCTCGGGGAGCAGATCAACCCCTATCAGCCCCACACTGCGCTCCGAAACACGAGTTACCGGGCAGCTGGAGCGATGCTTCTCTCCCAGTGCCTCCCCCGGGTGCGCATCCCGCACCGCCCGCCCGGGACGCGCAGCCCCGACAGCGGGGGGATCCCGGCTCCAGCCCGGCCCGGCATCCCCCGCAGGGCAGCCTCAGCCCCAGCTCGGTGTACCCGGCACCGAGCACAGCCCGCACCCCGCAGCCCAGCCCTGCCCGCACCCCGCGGTGCCCCAGCCCCGCTCACCTGGCCCCGGAGCGGCTGCGGAGGCAGGAGCAGCGTTCGGGGATGAGGAAATCACCCACGGGGGAGCGGGCACAGCACCGGCGCTCAGGCTGCCAGGAGGATGCTCCGCACACGCTCCCGCACGTAGCGGCGCAGCGCCCAAAGTGGCTTTGGAACTAACTCCCCTCCCACTCCTTCTCCTCCTCCTCCGAGCCTGGGGAGGAAGCACGGTGTGAGGGCTTGGGCGTCTCTCCCAGCTCGGCGGAGCATCCTCCCCAGGCTCTCCTGACCCAGCGGGAGCGCAGAGCCGGAGCTGTTCGGGCCAGCCGCCCTCTCCTCCTTCCCTCCTTCCCTCCCTCCCCACCGGGCAGAGCGATCGCGCTGCCTCCCGCAGACACAGCCCTCGCTCAGCCCGGGTTTTTATCGCCTGACCTTATTTCAGCGTCCGAGCTGTCGCTGCTCAGCCGAGGGAAGGAGCGGGAGATGTTTCTGTGCTCGCAGCCGGGCCGGAGTTCGCAGCATCTTTGGGAAAGAGCAGCAACTTGAGAAGGGAGCGGGGCTGAGGCCGTAACCTCCCCGCTCCTCTTATTGCATGTCCACGGTCCTGCGGGTTATCAATAAATCATCATCTTCACAAATTGGGTTTAAATGTTCAAAATGAAAGCCGGTGTTTCCCTGGCTACAAAGTCGGGGTCACTTTGCCTCTCCAGCAGCCCCCGGCAAGCGGAGTCTCCTCCTTGCTCTGCCACTGGCTCTGCACAACCTCTATCCCCCCACTTTACACCCTCAGGTTCTCCCGTGGCTCTGCTGCTCACCTAAACAGTGACGTCCAAATAAATGCTCGGGGGCTGTCAGCGTTTAAATATGTGCAGAATGGAGTCTCGTTTCTGTGAGAGAGGGCAGTGTCTCACCGTAGGTAAGCACAGGGCTCAGTGCAACAGTAGGTTGATCACGGCTCTGTTACCTAAATCCTGTTGTGATACAAATCGTCATCCTCCTGGACAAACATTCCTTTAATTGGTAGAATCACTGAAAAAATGCCTTGTGGAACAGAGCAAGCTACTTTTATCACAGGAAAACCCTCCTTGGCTACTGTTGTGGAATGGCAAATTGCCTTTCCGTTGTCTTTGTGCAAGTTCTCTAGTCCACATGCGAAAAGCAGTAAAAATCCCAGCAGCTTCCACACCACCGTTCACAGAAATTTAATAATCCAGAAGCAGACTCTCACATCTTGGAAAAATTCACTTAGCCTGAAAGAAAGGGTCCAAATCCCCAGCCTTAGCTCTCCCTCATCTCATGTTAGCACAATTCAGCTGTGCTCTTTTAATCAGCAGGACTTGCTATATAGTCAAAATAGGAGGGAGCAAGCCCACAGCATGAGACCACATCTCTCCATCTCAATCCTTACCTGAGGAGCTTCTTCACCTGCCACCTTCTTGCCTGCTGTTCCTGACACTTAACACCCTTCCAGACCTTTAGGGAGCCTAGAAAAGGGGAGAGAGAAAAGGCAGAAGCAGGAAGGAGCTCCAAGGTTGCATAAAGAAATGTGAGATGCAGATGTGGGTAAAAGGGAGGGAACTGGATGTACTGATGAGAAATGGAAAGATTTAGAGGACAGGAGACCCAAATTAGCAGGAAGAAAGGTCTCATCTTTCTGTCTGGGGTGCAGTTTGTTGAAAGTAGGCTGGTCAGGACATCAGGCAGGGATTATGCAGGATCAACAACCCCCTGATATGTGGTTGGAGCAGTTTACCAGCTGTGGGTGCTTCACTGGGCTGCTGAGCCACAGGAGACAGCAGCTCTCAGCTCTCCCTGGCCTGGTGCTGTCCTGTGCTCTTAATTCCATCCCATCTCTTAGCCTCAGTTTTCCCATCCAGACAGCAGAGACAGCCCCATTTCTAGCACTGGGTTGCTGTCAAAACGAATTAAGAGGTCCAAAGAGTACTTTGAAATGCAGATATTATGCTCACTAGGTTTAATGTCTCCAAAGCGGCCCCCAGATATCCCTAAATCCTCAACATATCCCTGATCAATTCCTGCTTTGCATAGGAGGAGGGCAGAGGGACAGAGGCTTTAGTCCATCCCTTTTATGTTGTGTTCTGAGGGTCCCCCTGACCTTGCCATCAGTTTCTGTCTGATCCCATCCAAAGCCACGTTTTGCTGGTGACACAGAGCAAGCTCCATACATGCAGAGCCTCCACACCTGATTATTAATTACTACCCAATTAGTAATAAATTACTACCCCCCAGACAGCTATTTCCTCTGGCATGTAAATGCCCAGGCTCCAGCTCCCATCCCCTTCCCCATCCTGGATTTACACCCAAAATTTTGGCATCCCCTGAGCCCTGAAAAACCCTCACACAAATCCTGGGCTCTGTGGGGCTGGACTGAATCTCCCCCTGTATTTTCCTTGCCTTTGCAGGTGCACAGGGAGGGAGCAGGACACAGGAGCTTCTGGTGCCCAGGCCTGTGATCAAATTATCTCTCCCTCTGTCACACATCCTAATCATCACAGCTGGCGGCCATGCCAACAATATTAACGCTGCTGAGTAGCTTTCAGTTTTGCAATTAGCAAGGTTTTCTACTTCCCTCAAATAAAAAAAAATAGGCTGGTGCTTCTTAGCACTGCATAAATGATACAGAGACATTCAGGGCCCACGTTCCTGCCTTGCTGAGATGAACCGACATTAGAAGTGCTGGAGATATTTTAAGTCTTCTGAAGATTAAAATGGTTACAAAGCTTATTATTTCTAAACATGTTTATCCTGCCTCTCTTTTTTGTTTGCAAAATTAGGCAAAGCACAGTTTAAACAAACAACTATTGTACTATTAAACATTGATTAAAGAAAAGGGTTGCATTTAAATTATTAAGTGGAGAGATAAAAAGCATCCCTTCTCTTTTGTACGCTACTTTATTCAGAAGTCAAACTTCTGTAGTCTCACTGAATGCTAATGAGCAGCATAATAATGCACAAGGGCAAGAGGGGGCTGAGTAATTAAAAACAGAGGCCAGAAATCAAAGGGCTTGAAATACACTTAAGAAAATAATTCAATTATACATTAGAAACCTGGGATAATCAAGACACATCCCACAGTTTCATTCATCATTATGCCCCAATTTTATATCTCCACTGCTTTGCTGTACACAGGAAGCAGCAATTGGGACTTTGATGTGTGATGCCTCAGCTGGAGAGACAAAGGCAACGTGCACTCAGGTCCCTTCCTCATCTCTGCTCCTTGGAAATGGCTTCACTTGAGTGAGTAGGTTCTCACTTATCTGATTTAGGGAAATATTTTTGGTCGCAAGATAATTCTGTGTTGGTTCCAAATTCCTTTTCTCTGTAGCTTTGCAATTAATTAACACAAATCTCTGCACCCACCATTTTATCTGCCCTACAAATCCATCTCCCACCACTCTCCTTGGCTCCTTCACCTCTTCCCATGGCTTCAGGCTTGCCTGGTCATCCACAAAAACCCCTGCCAAGCAAATCAGTGGGTAGGTTTGTCCAGCAAACCATTTATTTAGCTGGGGTGGCATCAGGAAACTCTGAGGTTTTCATTTTTCACACAACACAAGCTGGGTCAGAAAGTCCTGATGTAGCTTTACAATGTCACCTTTATGGGCCAAGGGGTCCCAGCACAGCTCCTGGTCTCCAGGACATTTATAAGGAATTTCAGTGCCATGTAATAAAACAAGGAAAAATGAGACAGTTTAGTCTTGTTCAGTGACTTTGGAGGATTTAAGTGATTTTGCTTTGTGCAGTCTGGATGCAATAAGCAATTATCAAACTTGGGCTCATTGCACTGACTCCAGCTTAAAGGAGGGAACTCTAAGTGATGCATTGTCAGGCACCATGGAAAAAAACCCAGAAAAAGTGAAAACTAGAGTTTCCATCTGACAAAGAGCAGCACTGTGTTCACAAGCTTTGCAGATGCACAAATTGTTACCTCCTTTTGGTACATAATTAAGGCAATGACAGGAAAAAAACCTTGGAAACAACCCAGAAAAGAAAAAAAAATCAGGAATTTTAACAAAACCAACAGTGAATTGCATATCAGCTTCCTGAGAAATCAGAGTCTGTCTCATTAGAATTTTTAAAGGTTTAAGCATAGAGACTAAGCATAGAGTTGTCTCTAATGAGCAATGGAGTCAAACCAGACACTGCTGTGCCCCACAAGGCCAGAGAAGCCCAGAGTCCAGCACAGGTCACAGCTTTGAACAGTGAGAAAGGGAAACAAGAACATCAGGTCGAGTTTTCCAGAACTGGGGGTCTCAAAATTAAAGTTCTGACTCAGCAGATGGGGACTGTTAGTGGGGACCCACACAGAATATTAGCAATATGACTGACATGCCTCAGAGCTCTCTGTAAGATCCTTATGCCTTCATGGCCAATAGTTCCAACTATTACTGAGCTTTGCTGTGTCTTCCATTCAGGAAAAAACAAAAAGCTGCATGGGAAGGGCCAATTTCAACAGTGTATGACAGCAGCTCATGTGGCTGTCTCAAGATTTCCCCATCCTCATCAGCCACATCTTCCTCAATCAGAAATAAAGAACTTTTTGAGATTATTCAGCTTCTCCACCAAAAAAGATGCACACTCGTTAAATAGGAGATCATTAAGACAAACAAACCAGCTCATAATGTCTGTGGAGCAGTGTTTGCCAAAGGTGGAGAGGGAAATGTTAAGACAGACATTAGATTTCAACCTGCAGGGAGTTAGAGAGCAAAACATGCATTTTCTTCCCATTTTTCTAATGAGGAATTAATTTTTAGAAGAGAAGACACAGTCAGACACGTGGCTAGATTTTGCAGAGGGAGGGACTGGAAGTGGGAGCTGCAGCCGAGGGCAGAGCTCGAGCCACAGAGGAGCCCCAGTGCTCAACATTCATCCCTCAAGTTTGTGGTTGAAATACTCTAGCAGATATCTCAGTGACATCCTTTTCCCAGAAACAGTCTGGGGCAGTAATTCTGACAGGACAAGTCAGCTGTAATGAATCTCTTTCCTCAGCACAGATGGGGCCTCGCTTTACTCACATGCATTGCTCCTTCCACTCCCTAAGACTGCGTGGAGACAAGAGAAAGCAGCTCTGGCCTCTTATCTTACCTGCCTGAAACAATATAGTGGCAATCAATAAATGAACTACATTTTCTTTAAATATGCAATTACATGGAATAGATTATAGAAGTGACAACACCCAGAACAACTCCACAAACACAGAGCTGGGCTCTGATTTCTATCAATACCAGATGAAAGTCGTGTAGTTGCTCATTTACAGCTCAAAGCTGCATTATTTTCCCTAACTCAGGCTCCATTGGTAGTCAGCTGAACACTCTAAAGCAGAAATACCAACTCATCTTGATATTCCTTCCACAGTAAATAATGATTTACAAAGGAGGGGGGGAAATCTCCCTTCCCCTCCCTCTTTCAATTCATTAAGCTCAACTGTGATAACCAGTGAGGCATACAGGAAAGGGTTAGGTATCTCTGCCTCTGAATATTTAATTCAGGACTAAATGTAATGCACAGCATCCTTGCACCCTTGGGAGTTCAGCAGCCAATATGCCAATGAATATATCCTGACAATAGTGATTTTTTCTGCACTTTGGAGGCATGAGTGACATTTGCTCACCACATATGTTACATCGGATGCTGAGGTCTACACTTGTGAGAAATTAATCAGAATCCATCTGTTTCCTTCTCATCCTGGACAATTTCATTACAACTTAACCAAAGATTATAGGATTCCCATGTCTGTGTCCCCAGCCCCCAGCCCAGTCTTGGTGTTTCTGTACCAAATGATTAAAGCTGCTTAGTTTAAGTAAGGTCAGAATCAATCTTCCTTCCTGTAGGGAAAGGCATAATGCTCGTGGGCAGGGTCCAAAATCTGCTCTAAATTACATGTAGGTAAATCCAGAATATCCCTACTGAACCAAAGGGTGTTCAGATTTATCATGGAGCAGGTTGTGGGCCTTGATCTACCAATACAAATTTCTGGTGGCTGACTTTGGTGGATATCAGGCTCAAAAGGACACAAAGTCACTGCAGGTCCCTCTGTTACATTTTCATTTACCTGTCCAGGTGGTGAAGGGGGAGGGCTCAGCCCTTCTGTGGGGCTCAGAAATACCATGACACTGTTGGGAAAAGAAAGTGATCTGGCTTAAAATACTGCCTGTGCTTAGGTGTCTTAGAAAATTCTTTGCTTATTTTGTATTTACTGGTACCTCTTTAATTCATTGGAGTGGCAAGGGAGAACTGGACAAAAACATTGCTTGGACCCTGATTTATAATCATTGTGCTGACATTTGCACAACGATGGATGAAGAGCTTAAAAGTGGGGGATTCTAGGAGTTCTTTGGACAAGGCACAAATGTCTTAACAAG